GGGGGTACCTGCTTACGTAGTCTCGATCTCCTAGCAGACTCGCGATTAGACTGTTTCCTTTTTTGTCTTTTTAGTTCTCGTTCATCCTGATGACCAAAAAGTTCAAATCTCACCATCATATTTAATGCACTAAATAAAAAAATTAAATTAAAGAAAAATGCATCTATCTAGTAGTCATGGTCGGAATGGGATACTAGTCATACTATCAATGAACTAAGCCAGATTCAACCATTTCAAACAGAGTAAACAAGTAACTTTTTGTTAGCACAATTAACTCTATTACAATGTAGTATAATCATACATACTTTCTCAACCTACCGAAGAAAAAAGAGTCAACACCCTTACTGGGGTTCGAACCTGTGACTTCTCATTTGTGAGAGCCACAGTCATGCCACTGAACTACAAGGTCCTTTGCGAGAGTAAACAAGTAACTAATAGGTGTTGCAATATACATGTAGCTTAAACATAATTTGTCCCTGGAAAAAGCGGTTTTTGCTCTAGGTCCCTGTAAAATTGTTCTTTACCCCTGTGATACAACACAAGGGAGAGCCACACCCTAAAAGCTAGCTGTTAAGGTGGGAGAACCCTTGACTATATAAACCCATCACCAAGTCCCCCATTAAACCGGTGTGGGACAATGAAATCAGTCTGTATCACCCTGTAATTTGCAATTTTTTGTATCCCTCCCCTGATTCTGTGAACTTTTGTTTAAAAAACAGGTGTTGCTCCCTCAACGTTCCATAACAGTTTTTCCAAAAATAAAAAATCCAAGAAAGTTGGAAATAAGTTTTGAGGGTATAAGTTGCCATTCATGACTTGTAAAAGCTTTTAACTTGATTGGGTTGACTAAAAATAAAATGTTATGCTCCTTATTATTCAAACAACACCTTCTTCTCTAGTTTTTCTTTTGAATACAAAACAGCAAGGCTAATAGAGAAAACAGAAAGAAGGGCAACAAAATTTTCCATTCACCAAACCCAAGGCCATCAGTTATTACTGGGCAAAGAGATCCTGCATCTGCCAAAACCATTATAATCATTCCCACATTTCAAGAGTTTTTTTTAACCCAAAAAAACACAAATTGGTTAGTAGGAGAATGTCATGGTAGATATCCAAGAAGTTGCATGTCACACTAACCACACAAGCATCCACTAAAGTAGAATGCACTTAATCTTTTTCATTATATTATAAGAGTAAACCAAGAAACCATTACAAAATTAGACTCGCCTGTATCCATTGTTCAGGCATCATTCCTTCACGTCCAGTGGGTGAGACTCGGGTCGGATTCGGCTGCATTTTAATTGATCCAGGACCAGCTGAAGACATATTCCATAAGTCCATCCCGATATTTAGGTTAGTTGCAGGTAAAGAGATGGCCGGATTCCCTGATAAATGAATTAAGAATTAAAACACCAAGAACTCATTCATTCACAGAAAGGTAGAAGATTGATAATGCAGACATAAATTAAAATATAAAAATAACTAACCATTTGCAAGCATCTGGTCGAAGCTTCCTTTCTTGGATGCAGGAAATTCCTAAACAATCATAACAAGTGATTCAAATGCTATTAACAAGGAAATAGATACTTATAAGCTACATGTCTACATGTAATTATTATAATGGCAACAATAGAGGATTAAGGAATTGTTCCAGCAGCCTAAAAGAATAAAACCATGTGTTCAGTAATTTAACAAAAAAAAGACCTGATCATTGTTTTCATCATTTGCATCTGATGAACCATCACTTCCGCTTTCAGAGCTGTTCAAGTGAAGGTCATTTGTATGAGCATGTTTCTAATACTTAAATGGTAATCAATAGGATGACAATTAAAAAAATATTGACACAAAATCCACATAAATACACCTCTGGGTTGCACCATCATTTCCTGAGCTAGAAGCAGTTTTTTTTCCACTAGAACTTCCCTTTGATTTTTTTACAGAAGTATGCCCCTTCCCCTCAGAGGCCTTTGCATCTGACTCTACATTCACTTGTGATGTACTTGGAGCCTAAACAAGTCAACAAAGAAAAATATCAAAATAAAAAACATGGGATCTAGCTATTACCAATGGAATTTGATTACCATTGCCATGTTAGGATGGGCATAGACTCCGCCCGGATGATATAAAGCTGGATATGGAATTGGAGTCCCATAAGGTGGCATTAGAGGATGCTGAAAAACCATTCCAGACATAAGAGTATGTTTCTTTTCTTTTTAATTAGGAGATTTTCCCTATATGAGAATAATAACAATGACACAAACTACTAACCTGGCTTCCCCACAAATAGGGATGGGGCGTAGGAGAAGCAACAGCTGATGCAAAGAAAGGAGGTGTAGCTCCAGCGCCATAATAAGCCTAAACAGGAAACCCGATGCTCTAAGCATTAAGATCTATGGACATATCTAAACATTATGATTTAGTCCCAAACTAGTTTAATAGCAAACCTGCATATGGTTTGCCCACTCAGGATATGAAGGAACGGCTGGTGGTGCCTCCTGAAAATTAGTAGAAAGGAAGGTGACTGGTAAATGACAAGCCACTATAGACTCAGAGAGAGACAGAAATGGTAGTTGAATATAACCAATTAAAGAGGATGAGGACCTGGGCTGAAGTAGGCTTTGAAGGCTTTGCAGGAGTACCTTCATCGCTGGACCCCATTAGGTCTGTGAATATCTATGTTTGAAAAAAGTTTGATCCAATTGAATGCATGAAGACAAACAAAGAGAACGCATTTATAGAAAAAAGATCCTTTATATGGCAAATTAATACGTAGTACAATATTTACTAATAAAAAAGGGTTACTGCACAGAGCACATAATAGCTTTGGTACCATTGTATCTGTGACATTCCTATACAAGTCTGACTACTTTAAAAAATATACTCGTGTTTCTTTTTACTTGTTTCATTCACTACATATCAAGGAGTGATCTTTATGCCGTAATTTGAAAAGTTGGGAAAGGTACAAGATGGCTAAAACGGAGACAAAAGTGGCAGTAAGTGAAGCAAGAATGAAAGTATATGAAGGATTTTACCAGTCGTTGGGTACGAAAGATAGGGAAAGACGCATTTACAAGATTGCAAAGGCTTGAGAAAGAAGGGTGTGGGAATCACAGACCATGTTAAGTGCATTAAAGATAAGAATGGTGAAGTTTTGGTCTCCAATGAAAGTATAAACGAGCGGAAGAAGAGCTACTTCAATGATCTGTTTAATGAGGGGCATGTGAATCTCTCATGCCCGATCGGCTGCACAAGAGGGATGAGGACCAAAACTTCAATTATTATCAAAGAATTCAAGAAATTGAAGTTAACGAGGCCTAACACGGATGAAGAGTAGCAGGGCAGTGAGCCCGGAAAACATCCCGATTAAAATTTGGAAAGGTTTATGAGGAAAAGACATTTGGTGGCTAACTAAGCTTTTTAATGAGATTTTAAGATCTGAGAAGATACCTAAAAGGAAGAGCATGTTGGTCCTTATTTACAAGAATAAGGGGGATATTCAGAGTTGTGGAAACTATAGAGGAATCAAGCTCATGAGTCATACAATGAAGTTGTGGGAAAGACGGGTTGAACGAAGGTTGAGACAAAAGACTTTAGTGTTAGAGAACCAATTTGCTTTTATGCAAGATCAACCAGAGGCTATATACTTGGTGAGGACAATGATGGAGAGGTACCGAAGTGAGAAGAAAGATTTGCACATGGCTTTTATTGATTTGAAAAAGGCATATGACTGAGTACAAAAAAGAATAGTGTGGAAAGTACTAGAGAAAAAAGAGTAAGGATTGTGTATATCCGTATGATTAAAGACATGTAGGATGGTGCTACAACGAGCATGAGAAGTCAAAGTAGGGTAACAGGAGAATTTTTCATCGGTGTAGGATTACAACAAGGGTCATTGTTAAGCTCATACCATTTTACACTAGTATTGGATGTTCTTACCAAGCATATCCAAGACCTTGTACCATGATGCATGTTTTTTACCAATGACATCATCTTTATGGGCGAATCACGAGAGGATTTGAATGGAAAGTTAAATTTGTGAAGACAAGCTTTGGAGTTGCATGGGTTGCGTCTAAGTCACACTAAAACAGTATATGGAGTGCAAGTTTGGCCCATGAGATTAATTTAGACAAATAAAGGATGATGTTGATCACAAAATTAAAGCTAGTTGGTCAAAATGGCGGAATGCTTCGAGCTTTATACTTGACAAAAGGAAAAATTTACCGTATTACGATTAGATCAGCTATATTGTATGGAACAGAGTGTTAGGTACTTCCACGGTAGAAATTGCAAATCGGCGGTTGGGTACTCTTTGCCATACATTCATCAACACGTACCCCCGGCATGCTACCCATGGTGGCAAAAATGAAGATGATTCAATGGATGAACGGCCATGCATGTATGGATAGAATAAGGAATGAAGATAAGAGAGCTAAAATTGAAGTTACACCTATTGTAGGAAAGATGGTGGAAACTCATCTCAGGTGGTTTGGACATGTGAAGAGATTGAGAGAAGACCAATAAAGCATCCCGTGAGTATGGTTAATCAAATGGTGAATAGACATGTAGCTAGAGGAAGAAGTAGACCTAATAAAAAGACTTGACACAAAGTAGTGGTGAAGGGGGGCCTTCGCGTGAATAATCACATAGTAGATATAATACATAGTATAGCACAATGACGTCGTTTCATCCATGTAGCCTAACCCACTTAGTGAATAAGGCCTTGTTGTTTCATTCATTGTAGGAAAAATGTTATTCTCTTTATTAGCATATTTTCTTTACTCTGGTGATAAAATAATAGTCAAGTCACTCTCTTTGTGTACAAATTTTGATATAATTTGTAGTTTTCAAATATAATTTTTTTTAAAATTTTATAATGAATCAGATAAATAAATTGAATTGAAAATAAATTCAATCGAATAGAGGAAGGCGAAATGGGTCAAGTAAACAGAAGTGCAGGGACTATTATTTAACTAAAATGATGTTTCCTATTAAACTAGTAAACTACCATTTAATCCGTATATATCTAATAATAATAAAAATAATAATAAGGGTTTGTTCATTTGGGTTAGAAATGTTAACTTTCAACTTTTTCAACTCCTTCCAACTTCTTTCGGTTTCTTCCAACTCCTTCCAGTTTCTTTCAACTCTATTCAATTTCTTCCAACAACAAATAAAAATAGTATTTACATATGATGAATATAAAATAATATTACACATCCAAATTTTTAATATACCACCTTAGATGTAGACAAAGATGATTTTTTAAATTCAAAATTAGTTTTCTTACATTTTTATTTGGGTTTCTATTTAACTAAGTGATTTTTTAACACTTTATTTTTTCCAACATTTTCCAACTCCTTCCAGTTTTTTGAACTCTTTCCCATTTCTTCCATCTAGTTTCTTCCAATTCTTTTTAGTTTCTTCCAATATCCATCTATGTCCTTACAACCCAAAAGAATAGAGCCTTAGTCAATAATAGATATACATGACAAGCTTGAGTGGTCTAATAGCAACCACTTCACACATAAGATTCTCTCCTTATGAGAGAGGTCTTAAGTTCGAGCCACCCTACCAACAAAAATGGCTTACTCTCACCTATATATGGGTTTGAAAGTTAAACTCTATTTTTGTAAGTATCACTAGTACCGAGTAACGACGCTCTCAAAAAATCTCAACTCTAGTTAGGATATGACCAAACAAGTAGGGGCAAGCGGTGTATACTAATCCATAGGTCCAAGCCGGAGGTCGAGGTTTCTTGTGGTGGGACCGCAATGTGGTTGGCTGGCTAGTATAAAAAACTTACCCTCCAAAGTTTCAGGATTTACAGTGTACGAAATACGGAAGTATAGAAATTAATTGACTGAAAACAAAAGAGGGCTTAAATTAAATCTAGAACAATTCTGTAACTTGTCCTTCCAATCTCACATCCATTAATTTGATTATAATAGAATTAATTGAATTCCGAGCTTGAACTCCGAAATTGACTCTCGAATGTCTGGATTAACCTACCCTATCAGAATTTAAAAAAAAAACATAGAAAATAGAACCAACGAATAATTATTAAAAAAAAAAAACCTAATCTAGCTCTACCAGTAAATCGGCAATTCGTCTGAGAGTCGTGAAATAAACAAAGAGAATTATACACAATAATTTAAAAACAAAAAAGAGAACGAGATAAAAAGAAAGAGGAAAGACTGACCCGGTGTGCTGTGGATAGTGAGGTGGAAGGAAGACGAGTCCAACTCGGACGGAGGAAGCGAAGAGTAGAGTCTCTCTTTTACACGCGTTTGCGGCTTTAGCAAAGGGCAAAGTCGGCCATTTAAAAGAGAATATATGGTCACTTACCATGGAACCCTAGTTTTTTTTGTGTGCAAGGTCATGTCTTGGGTGAGTTCTTAGCATTATGGTAGCCTATGCATGCCTAAATTTTTTATTTATTAAAATCAATACTTACCTATAATAAAAGCATTTTATAGTAATATTTAATTAACATTAAAATTAAAATTTACATTGACATCATGTGAAAAAAAATAAACCGCTATAGATGGTAGAAATAAATACAAGTACTAGATTAAAAAAATATACCCATCCTTTTTTCTTTCTTTTATATTCTTCTTTACATCTAATTTAATTAAAATAACTTAAACTATAAAATATATCTTGTAGTTTATTAATATTAAATTTAAAAATACATATAAAAAATTAAAATTTTATTTTAAAAAACTATTCAAAAAATATATATTATTTAATTAACAAAAAAAATAAAATTCAAAACAACAAAATTGAAAAGTAGAAAAAAATTGAAGAGAAAGAAATGAAGGAGGAAAAGGAAGAAGAAACAAAAACAAGAAAGAAAAAAAGAAGAAAGAATAAATTCACTATGGTGAATGTGAAAGCCACCATGCGCATCACTTATTACTCTCTGTCTCAAATTAAGGTGTTTATTTATTATTCACAAGATCAAACTTAATTCATTTTCTTTTTCTATTTTTGTAAAACATTTAATAAAATAATTTTTTAATCTAGTTTTTAAATATGTAATTTTAATTTTTTAATTATATGCTATTTTTCATAAAAAATATTTTGAAAATAACCTTAGTCAAATATCAAAAATCAAAATAGACGATTTAAATTGGGACAGAATGAGTAATTAACAATAATGCTCAGTTTAATCCCCAACTAACTAAGATGTTCAAGTTTATACGGAGTACTATTTTTCAAAACTGTTCTTTATAATTGTGTATTTTTCCAAATTAGTCTATTTTCAAAATAAAAACTCATTAGATGTAGAAAAATAATTTAAATTTTTATAAGATGAGAATATAAAATTTAAAATTATTTTTAATGCATTTTTATTTAAAAATATTTAAAATTTAAGATTATTTTTCCACATTTAATGCGTTTTCATTTAAAAATATGGACCAATTTAAGAAAACACCAAATTAAAAAGGATCATTATGAGAAATTAGCACAAGTTTTAACGTCAATCAAACGGTCGCTAGTCGGAAAATTAAACTGAGCATTATCCTTAATTAATGAGTATCATCTTGGAAATTAATTCATCTTGAGTTCTATCTTGAGAAAAAAACGTAGTTATTGAGTAAGCTTTTGAGATTTTACTCTTTTAAATATAAGTATAACAATACATTCTAATTAACGTCATGGGATTCACAAAATCCAGTCAAAATCCGTTAAGGACTCCGTAAAGTAAACCTCCAAAAAGGCCTCATTTCTACTTGTGGTAAAGGAAGGCCAAGCTAAATATGAAGAACCCTGCCATCTGCATACAAATAACAAAACTATTTTATTTGCAACAACAAAAGCTCAGTAAAATCTCACATAAAATAAGATCTCCGGAGGGTGTGGGGGCAACACACATTACCCTTACATAGTAGAGGCTCAAACACAGAACCACATACTCCCTCCGTCCCTAAATATTTATCTAATTTTAACTTTTTTTGTTTATCAAAATCGGTAAACTTCGACCTCAAATTAAATAAAAATGATATTAGATATTGGTACGAAAATGATTTTATTAGATTTATTATATCAAATATTTTTAAAATATTATTTATCTAATTAATATACAATATATACTTTATTTAATTATAGGTCAAATGTTGAAAGCAGTTGAACAAAAAAAGTCAAACTAGAAAAATACTCAGACGAAGTAATTCAGACACAAGGATTACATGTCTCGACACACGAGCAGCTAGATCGAAAGCACATAAAACATGCATGCACAAGCTACATACTTCAACAAAAAAATACTCGTACAAACTAAGAGCTTGTTTTGTTCAGCTTATTCTTACTACTTATTTCATCTGTTCTCAAAAACACTTCCTCTTTCATTTTTTCCACTTCCAACAAAAGACTTCCACTTTCTATTAAAAAACCACTTTTACCCTTACTTTTTCATACCCTATCACATCATACTTTTTTCTTTAATAATCTATCTATCACATCTTACTTTTACCCATCACATCAAGGGCAAAATTAGAAGTCAACTACAATTTAACACTTCCTCATTTTTACACTTGGTCAAAATAGGAACTCTTTTCGAGGACGGGGGGAGTATTACTTATTTTTATTGAAATGAGATCAGATCAGAAACAACTTTAAATATAACCACAATCAAATCAGACCAGATAAAAACTTATTTCCATCAGACTCACCAAACAGATCAGAACCAATCAAGTCAGGTACAGGCCCTAAGGCCCAAAGGTTGACTCAACTACTACTCTAATCCTATATATCTCCGGGTGGTTTTGTTATTAAAGTGTGAAAGTGTTTGAGAGAAGAGATTGAGAGAGAGGAGATATTCTTACAGTGGTAAATGAAGCGCCGTAGTAAGGGTACGCTGTAGTTATGAATCTCTCATACTCGTTGTGTCTGAATGGTCGTACTGGAATCTGCAAGGTTTTGTAATTATGTCAGCATGTATTTACACTATATACATACATAATTGATCATCTAACATAAGGTGCAAGCGATATAAAAGAATAGTTGCAAGTCATCTTACCTGCTTTGAAAGTGATAAGCTGGTATACCCAAGCCGGTGATACTCAAGTTTAAACTGGAAAACCCCATAAACATCTGGCACCTTGAATGAAGTATGATAGAGCCCCTGCAAGTAAATTGAATACATGAATGTGGATGGTTGGATGGAAAGTGCCACTCTAGAGGGACCAGAACTGCAAATATACCCAAACATACTCCATAAATTTAATACCTTCTGGTCTGTAGCCAAGGTTTTCAATACATAGGGGCTCATCATGTAGAACTGCACCTGAACATCATTAGTGACATATGGTACCCAGCTATTTCCAGACCACTCATAAATTTCCACAGAGAATTCCTGCCAAAAGAGCAAACATATGGCATGAGACACTTTCTCAAACTAAATGGCATTAGTGCCTTAGTGGTAAAAAACCAAATGAACAGTAAGATTTCCAAACAAGCTGCCGCATGGTACTAAGTGTGTAAACTAACCAGGTCATCTTTGATCCTATACACTGCAGGTTCTTCTTTTTCATCAATTTTGTGGTGCTTCAGATTGATGGCCTGTGACAGAAAATGTAAAATCTGCATCCAAAATCAAGAGATGGACAATGTACAACTGCTTTTGTGGCTCACCTTCAGATGACCCCTTTCGTGGAAAATCCATTTACTGAGTTCAGTAAGAAACTGTTCATTGCCGGATTTCTCAAATCTGTTTACAGTAGTAACGCCCTCTATTAGTTCATTGGCACTCAATATAGGAGGCAAAATATAGGAGAAAATTGGAAGGAAAGAAAGTTTGAGCGAAAATAAAACATTGGTTCGAACACAATTAAGGAGTAACATATTATTGCTATTTGTGCAAAATCATTTATTTATTTATTTATTTATTTCTATCACCTGAATACCAATCAATATAAGCATATATAGAAGTTTTATGGACATTAATCTACTTTATTTTCCTTTGCAT